AAGCCGTACAGGACCACCTCGTTAGCTTTAGCGGGGGTCTGTCAAGAGAAGAAGGAAAGCCTGAGGAGTTCCATGGACCGATTCAACAAGATTGCGATGGAGATTGGTGATCTTAACCCTGCCGTGGCCCTGGACCGGTTGAGCACGACACTTAGGCCGGGACCGTTTGTGAATAGTTTATGCAAAAAGCCACCCGTTGACATGAACGACCTCCGTAGACGTGCCGAGAAGTATATGCAGATGGAGGAATTGGCGGAGACAAGAAACCAAGCCAGGACCAAAGAGGGTTACAGCCGGAAGGAGCAAGGTCGGGAGCCGATGAAAAGGGCGAATACCGAGCCCTCGAACACTCGACCGCCGAGAGGACCGCGTTACACGACTTATACTCCCCTTAATGCGAGTAGGGCCAAGGTGCTGGAGCAGGCTCTTGCGTCGGAGATTTTGGTGATACCGAAGAGGGCGAACACTCCTCCGAGGGACGACAAGGCTAAAACTTGCCGATTCCACCGAAATCGAGGCAATTCAACAGAGGAGTGCTCAGCATTAAGAGACAAACTTGAAGACCTTATCAAGCAAGGTCACCTTAGGAGCTTCGTCTCATCCCAAGACCACCGACCAAGAGGGAGAGACCAATACCCTCGAAGAACGTCGTCGCCCGGGGAACGACGCCGTCGATCTCGATCTGCTGAAAGGAAAGACCACCCCCGGAGCTCGCGAGAAGACAATGATCGCCCGAGGAAGATAATAAACACAATTGTCAGAGGCTTCGCCGGGGGAGGCTCTACGTCCTCTGCGCGGAAAAGACACCACCGGGCGGTACGGTCGGTGAACAACGTTGATCAGCCGAAGACACCGAAAATGCCGCCGATAACTTTTTCAGACAAAGATTTTCGGGGTATCGACCCGGTCCAAGACGACCCCATGATAATCTCCATCGAAATGCATAATTGCATTCTGAAGAAGACCCTGGTCGACCAAGGAAGCTCCGCCGACATCTTGTATTGGAACACTTTCATGCAACTAGGAATCCCGGAGGAGAGCTTAGAGCCGTATCATGAGCCCCTGGTCGGCTTCTCGGGTGAGCGAGTGATGACAAGGGGATGTATTGACCTGTACATCCGCTTTGGTTTCGATCAAAGATCTTTCCGAGAGATCAAAATCCGATACATAGTGGTGCATGCAAATACGTCATACAACATTCTCCTAGGGAGACCGTCGATCAATGCGTTAGGGGCCATCGTCTCGACGCCTCATCTAAGCATGAAGTTTTCGTCAAGGGATGGGCAAGTTATCACCGTGCATGCCGACCAGAAAACCGCAAGGGAGTGCTATCTCTCTAGTTTGAGAGTGCAGCCTATTGCCGAGCCGTCGACCACAAAGATAGGCGTGAACGTGGTCGCACAAGGGATAGCCGAGGGGGCGGTCGAAGACCTCGTCTCATTTCAGCTCGGCCGGTTACCTGAGCAGGTCACGCGCCTGGGATCCCAATTGAGAGAGATCGATGCGAACCGGGTTAAACGAGCAGTTTGCGACAATATAGACCTTTTTGCTTCGACGGCGTCGGATATGCCCGGGATTGACCCCAAGTTCTTATGCCACCGACTG